CTAAAAAAACAAAAATTTAATGAATGAGCACAAGAGCACTCACTGTCACCGGGTTTTCTTTGCCTCTTTCGATGGTTTCGACAAGTCAAACTGCTGCTGTTGCTTAGGTACCTGGCATTGCAACTATTAAAGGAACTGCTCAGGCATGTCTACGGCGCCTTGTGATGCAAACGGTGAGTTCACAATTTTTATAATTCAAGTGTTTTAATCCTTTTCGTGACATCTGAAATACCGAAGGAGATGAGCTCCTATTTTCTGACAATTTGTCGCCTTCTAATGCTAGTATAACTTGCATAGCTTCACGTTTAAGAGAAAACATATTCAAAGAAACTTCTAGAAGTACTAATTGAATTTTTCTTGCAGGTCTTTGATGTTCTCGAACGCCAAGCTCGTAATGCATTCTTCCTGATCTTGTAATCTCGACCATTTTGAGTCAACTACTATTAACATCACTTACGAGCCCCTGGAATGCCAAGATGTTGCCCTTGCTCGAAAGGAAATGGGTGGGTCATCAATTACTGAAATACACTCAGAAGACAGATTTATGACAAGCATTGCAAAAAAGTGGAACTTCGTTTGTTTTTGTGCAGAAAAGGTAAATAGTTCTGAAAGAAAAAACAGAAAATGTTTTATAATAAGAGGAATTATATCAGAACAGTACTAAATTGAAAGTTAATATAATCAACAACATTTTTTAATGAGGTCTTTTCACATCTTCGTCAAAGAATAAGATACTCTTCAATATGTAAAATGATGGTTTGGAAGACATGGAAGAGCAAAAGAAGTTGGTGCTCAAACTGTTTTTTATTTTTTCCAGTTTTTTGTTGCACTATGTGTCATACAGAACATGTGACTTTTTGCAGTCGAGATGGATGCCAATAAAATTTCACAGCGCTGCATCATCATTGGCAGCACGGTGACGGGAATTCATATGACTGGAAAGAAGAGGCTGTTCCCAACAACTACACGTCGATTTCAGTTACGCCTTCGGTCTGAAAAGCTTATGCTTTGACTAAAATTTGTTCTACAATAGAAGAATTTTTTGTAGACATCAAACATCATTATGGCGAATTGGTCGCGAATGACGTGGCAAGATGTAGTGAGCAGAGCGGTTTGATTGTTGGCATCGGGTCCATTTGGATCGCCCTTCTTATCGGCATCTGGCACTGTCGGCTGAAACTAAAGTGAAACTACATTGTGCTTGATATAAATGTTTTTGTTTGACCGCTAATCATTGTATTCCTAAACAGAGCATATACTGACAAATAATTAAGGTGTTGATTATTCAGAACAGTGAAGAAAAATACATCAAGGTAAACAACGTGATATATTTGTGACTGGTAATTCCTTTCAATGTTAATTGAGCATTTGCTTATGATTTAAGAATTTTCTGTTTCTCCACTAGCCATGATAATATCAATGCGAAAGGATTGAAGGGGTCAATCAGAGTAAAGCAATAAGTTACACCAGAGTTCACAAAGATATGAGTGGAGGTCCAGTATTTTTTAGACAGGGTACCCATAAATCTACAAATACAGATTCTTCAAAAAAACTTCGCTATTCTTATGATTCGAGAAAATGCTTTGATCATTGCCTCAATCTTGGTCGTGTAAAGCTAGTCTGAAAAGGTTTTATATATTCAACTCGAGCAGCTATGAAGTTACCGTAGACATTCTAGAGCTCTTGGAGAGTGATTCAATTGCTTTACCTTCCAAGGAGTTTGAACATTTCCCACATTATAGAAAAGTATTTTAGGCAATATTCCGATTGTTTCTCAAAAATTTTGTTTCTTCTCATAAACTTCGCAGAATGGTGGTCGGCTATCATTGTTATGTTTAATATAGCCGAGTTAAAAAGTTTCCTAAGGCGTTCTTTGATTGACCTGTTGAGACAGAAAATGGACCAGCGCCATTCTTGTCACCTTGCTGCCGTTACACTGCACCATTAATTACTGCGCTATTCCGCTTTGTAGAAGCACTGCAAGGATGGAAACAATGAAAGAAAAAGACAAATGGTTGAAACTGGGTTCAACGAAGACATCTGTCAAAGATCTCATTGGAAATATGCTTATGAAAACACTTTCCATATCTGCTGTAGAGACCTATCACTTGAAAGAGAAGTAAAGAACGTCTGAATAGTTTATACTGGAAGTTTTTGTGGAGTTACTTCATGTTTCATGAACGGCCTTATCATCTCTTTATTAAGTTTGCAGTCCGAAGAGTTGAGTCAGATTTACCTCCGGCATGCACTTATATTCCTTTAGATGAGTGTGGATGAGCAACACACGTATACGGGTTCTATACTAATTGATGATTTGACTCGATCGCTAAGTCAATAAGCAATGTGCCGAAAGCGTTTCAAACCCCTTCAGATGAATACATATGGACACTTCATATGTCCTCAAACCAAAAATTCAGCATTTTTCAGCAGTTCTCCACTGTGACAGATAGACTGTTAAGTCCTGTTGGGTATTCACCGTTGAAAGTTGTACAGATGATTCTAAAGTAAAGCACATCTGGCATAAAGTACAAGTGATATATGCAGCAAATATGAATCAAAAGCAAAAAAGATATTCATCAGAAATCTTGTCTTTCAGTTGAAACGGCTCCGTAAATAATGTCGCTCTGCCCAAGAATCTTTCGCACAAGAAATTTGGAAAGAGACGATTCCACACCTCAAAATCAACATCATAGATATATATAATGTTTGCATAGGATAATCATTTATTTTTCCATTTATTTACTTCAGACGAGCGACGCACACATTTGATGCACAGACTCCAGCATCTTTGCATCGAATTCATTTTTTCGCATCCACCATTTGCGAAGGTTTTCAACATCTTTTGTGTGGGTTCAGGACCTGCTTGTCTTCTTTGTGAACGTCCTTGATGGTTGGTTCGATTCCCCGTGGACTCATAGGATATGGGGTATTACTACATGATTTGTTACCAACCGTTGGCAATCATCTGAAAGTCAGTTCAGACCGTAACACAAGATGATCTTTTCTCCTGCTCTGGATTGATTGTAATGGTCAGTCGAAGGACATGTGGTACTGATGGGCGTGCGAGAACGCCAAAGCACAGATATACAATTTAAGACGCCATATCAGACCTTTTTAAGGTCTTGAAGTATTCTATCAGACTTTATTTGCGGTCTCAAACATAGTCGATTGAAAAAGTATTACACAATTGATGTAGTAATATAGCCTTATAATTACTCCTGGGACAGTTGGGCTATGCCGTTCTCACTTAAGTGCGTAGTTAGCTGTGCGCATACAAGTCTAGTACAATGATCCCTACCTTGGAAACATGAGAGGTTTAGTGATCTGGGACTGTGTCGAGTTGTCAGTAAAGCCAAGTGAACCGAGTGAACCATGTAAACACGTGAGAAGTGTGATCGCGAGTTCGAAACAGACGCAATTTCCAAGTTGTGCTCCTATCTCGTGACTTAAATAGCAGTGCTTTAAGTGAGTGTAAGTTAAAGGTAAAATGCGTCAACCAACGTCATCGAACAGCTTTTAGCAGGTACAACTGAGCCATCTTTAGGATCATGAATCACATAATCGCAAAGAACAGTAGGCTTCAAAACAACAACCGGTATGTCGCACAGTAAGTCATGATAGTGTCTTCATGCTTGCAACTGTAGTGTCTGCACTGGAGAATCTATGAAACTGATAACTTACTTTCAAATCTTTTATGATCATAATTTGATTGTATTTGAAATTGACATGGAGCAAAGCTCATACAAATGGTTGTAGTTCCTAACTCCGCAAACACTCTAAATTCGCTGAGTAAAGTGGCGTATGTGGTATTTGGTGATGGCATAGGTACAATGACACTGGTCCATCACCATCAGTTGATGGTTTCGGCTGGTAGACCAAAACTAATCCATAAAATCGACTGTTTCCAAAAGCTCGTAATAAACATTCAAAATAATTCCAAAAAAAGAATGCTTTTAGCGACAATGCAGAGCTTATGTGGGGCGGGGGTCACTGACGAGGAGGCCGAAACCCCTGAAACCCCCGAAACACCGGTGTATAACCCTTGCGTACCAACCTCGTTTAGGCTAAAAACATTCTTTTTTTTTGGAATTATTTTGAATGTTTATTACGATGTTTTAGAAACAGTCGATTTTATGGATTAATTTTGGTCTACCAGCCGAAGTCCATCGACTGAACAGTGGTGATGGACCAGTGTTATTGTGCACTATGCCATCACCACATAAGCCTCCCTCCTTGCTTCAATGCTGACGAGGAGACCGAAACCACAACCTCGTTTAGGCTGGAAACATTCCTTTTTTGGAATTGATTTTGAATGTTTATCACGAGGTTTTAAAAACAGTCGATCATATAGATTAATTTTTTATTTTATTTCTTTTTACTAATCATTTTCCACACTCGACATTAAGAACGTATTTACAAGAAGACAAATCTGTTTCCATTTGTTCAATGGCACACATGATTATAACGCTTGAAGATTATTTTTGAACACTTATCTATTTTCGACCAAATAATGCTAGTTCTCGAATGGAAGGTTGTGTAGATTGATGGTTGGAGCTTCGAAGTGGTGTTACTGTGAAACCGATTCCAGTTGTTTATTTAAATCTTCCAATGTACATATTTTATAATCATTCTCTTTCTCTAAATGCGTGTGCAGAAATTACAGGTGATTGAGTTGATTAGATCAATCGATTTGATGGCTCGACCAAATGCATAAGGCTCACCGATGGGTCCATCAATCCAGACTGGTAATTATAATAGAATTATCTAGGCGGATAATGTAGAGTCGTCTGCAAAAGTATCCGCGTTAGCCGGATTTGAACCCAGATCTCACTCTTTCACACAGCACTCTACATTATTTGGCTTGTTGATATAACATCATACGACCGCAATACGCGGTCAAATAATTCAGTGTCGATAAGTGAGTGCCCACGCCGGAAAGTAGACGGTTGGCTGTTGACAGGTGACGTGTAGTAGCGTAGAAAGAGCGGATTGCAGAACGAGTGTCGGTGGTGTAACGGCTCAGCATGCGCTCCAGGAAAGAGCAAAATCAGAGTTCAAATCCCGGCTGACGCAAATGTTTTTGTGCACCACTCTACATCATTGAGTTTATTATAACATCATACCACCGCAGTACGCAGTCAAATAGAATGAATTCTGATATACATGAGAATATTTGCACTGACTTCGACGCGAGTTATTGTAGAATGAATTCAGTAGCTCCCAAGACCGACTGTCTATTAACCTCGGCATGCTTCAGTATGATTCTTGATTTTCTTCTTTGAGCAGAACACGAGGTGTTACATTAAACTTTATTCGATAGCTGACGTTTCGGCAGTTCGCCTTCTTCAGAGCCTGGAAAGGTCAAAATGTTTGCAATACAATCAGTCAAACACCTCCATTACTTCTTTAGAGAAAATCACCAGACCTAGATTTCAATCGCATCAAGCAAAAATCAACACTCAACATACTCACCGCTTTTTATATGTGTTCCACTGGATGATCCAAGTGGAGATCACCGGCAAGAGAGACACATAGGCTCGTAATGCACCCTACCCATCAAAACAACAGTCTTATATACTGGCTCATATCACGAATGTTTACAAGGCATTCCTCCCTGCGGTTTATGGTTGGACTGGTCGTATTAATCCAAAATGCTTCCAAGATCTTTCGCGCTGATGTTTTTTGCTCCTGCGCAAGGATGGTGACTTCGATTTCAAAATCAACTCCGTCGTGCTTCTGTGCTCTATGCGTCCCTAGCGGGGTGTTTTGTCTATTAAGACGCTTGTCAGCTAGGCGTTCTTCTATGCGTGCATAGAGCGGCCTACCCGTTTCGCCAACATATTTATCACTACACGCTTTGCAAGAGATTAGGTAGACTGTACCTACGCTCATGCAATCACCGTCTCTGCCGTTAGGACATATTTTACAATCTTTCATCATACAGAGACGGTCATATAAGCGGTTGCGAACTAGTTGGCGTTTTAGAGTATTCGGTGGTATTTCAATAATGGCCACCGATTGCTCTAAACCCGCTCTTTTCAAACATCGTTTTATAGCTGTACTAATCTCATTTGAATAGAACGGGATGATAAACGGGACTTTCCTTTCAACTAAGTTTTCGTTCGGAGGCGCATTATTTCCTTTAAACCTAAGCCGAGGGGCTACGAATTCGTATCCATTAGAAGTGGCTATTTCCCGCGCCAGTTTCACGGATTCTACTCTCTGCTCCTCCCCGGTACATACATTGGCTGCTGTTCGAAACATGTTTTTTACTAGCGCCTTCTTCGTATGTGAGGGATGAGAAGAGAGATAGTGAACCAAGATATTCTTACTACTTGGCTTTCGGTACCACTTCGTTATGTAGCCACTCTCAGTTAAGCTTATTTGCACGTTCAAGAATGGAAGCCAATCGTCTTTTGGTATCTCACGGGTGAATCTTATATACTCTGACTGTTCATTCAGCAATCTAAAACAATCATCCAGCTCCTCTTGAGTGGAACAGATAATCAAACAATCATCTATATACCTACAGTAGAGTAATGGCCGGAGATCCATCACTGGTGCTTCCATTTTAGACATAAAGGCAATGGCCAGGCTAGGTGCCAGTCGCTGTCCCATTGCCAGCCCTCTGGTTTGAGCATAATAATTCCCGGACCATCTGAAGATTGAGCAGTTTAAGCACTCTTTTAGTAGGATCATGAACTGCTCAATCGTCAAGCCATACATGTTTACAGCTCCCTGGTGTTGTATAAGAAGCTCATGTGTGGCTTGCAATGCGGAGTCATTCGACACGTTGGTATATAAAGCAGTGACGTCGAATGACTCCATTACGTACGCGTTATTCGGGTTCGCGTTACGTAGACGATCCAGGAACATCTGAGTGTTTGTCAGATGGGCTGGAATGTGTCCTAGCAACTGGGATGTTATTAAAGTCAAGAACCATGCTATCCTATCCGTCGGTCCGCCTACACAACTGATGATAGGTCTAACTTTGAATATAGATGGATCGTTAGACATCAGATCATCAGTGGATACTAACTTATGTGTTTTTATAAGCAAGTATAAGACAGGACATGTTGGTGACTGGATTTTTAATTGAGAAATGATAGATGGTCTTAAGCCTGCCGCTTTTGCCGTACGGACCCACTCACTGTTTAATTTGCGGTTTTGCCTTTTGAATTCCTTTACAGAAGATGATCGGTAAAGCGAGGCATCTTCGAGATGCTTGCTCGTTATTGCGATATCTAACTGTCGAGGAATCACAACAAATTCTCCACCCTTATCACTAACTGATAGCCTTATCCTACCTTCGCTTATCAACTCTCGAACCTCTTTCATGCCACGTTTTTGTAGTTCGGTGAGGTTCGATTGATATCTTCTCCTGCTATAGTGAGTGAGGGTTCTAAAAGTTTCGTCCGCAAATTTCCGGAATTTTCTATCTACCTCCTCGTTGGGGTCTTGTTGTCTATAGAACGGCTGAGGAAATGGTGGTATTAGTGCCTCTACTTGCTGTTCATTCCTATTAATCTCTTCAACTCTGGCCTTTTTACGGAGTTGATCTTGCAAATCATGTAAACCGCATGCAACCTTGCGCAAGGACACCTTAGAAATGGGTTGAGATGGTGAAAAGCTTGGACCCAATTCTAATAGCGAGCGCGCACCATCAGGGAGAGTTATGCCTCCTAGCACTGTGACCCTTGAATTTCTTGATGCATTACTTGCCCTAATGTGACTCGCTTGATCTTCATTAGCGGTATCCGTATGCCTTCTCAAAGTCATGTTATGCGATCTACTCAAAAGATCATCGAATTTTCTCCGCAAAGTAACTTTAGTATTTGACCTAATGGAATCGCAAATCAATTTTGACCCACCAATAATTCTCCTCCAAAGGTTGCCTTCCAAATACTGATCACAATAATATTCCTTCGCCGCACACTTCTTCAGCATAGCGTACAGATTGTCTTGCTTGCTTCGTAGACAGGCGCGGAGCACTTTCATTTCGATATCCAGTATTCGATGGCTGTCCTCTGGTACACCACATATCGCGTGAAGTCGTTTTCGTTTTATGAAGTTCGGAACGATTCGATGTTGTATGCAGCGTCGGAGAAACTTCAAACATTGTCGAGCTAAGACAATTTTCTGCCTTAGTGATAATGCTTCTTTTGTCAGTCGGAAGAATCTTGCTGGTACTTCTTCTAACAACTCCCAAGACCGACTGTCTATTAACCTCGGCATGCTTCAGTATGATTCTTGATTTTCTTCTTTGAGCAGAACACGAGGTGTTACATTAAACTTTATTCGATAGCTGACGTTTCGGCAGTTCGCCTTCTTCAGAGCCTGGAAAGGTCAAAATGTTTGCAATACAATCAGTCAAACACCTCCATTACTTCTTTAGAGAAAATCACCAGACCTAGATTTCAATCGCATCAAGCAAAAATCAACACTCAACATACTCACCGCTTTTTATATGTGTTCCACTGGATGATCCAAGTGGAGATCACCGGCAAGAGAGACACATAGGCTCGTAATGCACCCTACCCATCAAAACAACAGTCTTATATACTGGCTCATATCACGAGTGTTTACAAGGCATTCCTCCCTGCGGTTTATGGTTGGATTGGTCGTATTAATCCAAAATGCTTCCAAGATCTTTCGCGCTGATGTTTTTTGCTCCTGCGCAAGGATGGTGACCTCGATTTCAAAATCAACTCCGTCGTGCTTCTGTGCTCTATGCGTCCCTAGCGGGGTGTTTTGTCTATTAAGACGCTTGTCAGCTAGGTGTTCTTCTATGCGTGCATAGAGCGGCCTACCCGTTTCTCTGAAGAAGGCGAACTGCCCGAAACGTCAGCTATCGAATAAAGTTTAATGTAACACCTCGTGTTCTGCTCAAAGAAGAAAATCAAGAATTCAGTAGCCTCAAGCGATGGTAGATGAATACAAATGCATGGAGTATCTGGAGTACCTTTAAGGATTAATCAAAGCCGAGAGATTATGCTTATCATTTTTGAATCAACTATTTCTTTTATGACAAATAATATTCAATATTTTCTCAATTATAAACAAGCAAGACTTCTTTGTGACTGAAATTATTTGCGAAATTCTCTATTGCTTACAAAGAGATCTCAAACGAAATATATAAAGTTGCACGCCACATGTAATTTACTGAATTATTATGAGTAATCAACACTGATTTGAATTGCCAGTTTATTGCTGCTATATTGTTAGGAAAAATATCGTCAAAGTAAAGATGCTCGTCTGAAACACATCGAGATTCAGTTTCAGTTTCCGCCGACAGTGGCACTTGCCGAGAAGAAATGCGACCCAAATGGACCCGATGATAACGTTCGAAGTGCTCTGTCTACTACACTTTGCCACATCGATCTCGACCAACTCGCCATGACGATGTTTGTGGTCTGCACAGATTCTTTCTCGAAAACGAAGCTCTATGGAGAAAAAAGATCTATTCGAACCGAGAGAGTTCCTGAGATTGTCGTATGATTTTGGAGAATAGGCGTTATTTGCCACCACCATGTTCACTGGCATGGTGCATGGCATCATGTTGCCCAATTGCATCAGTCCATTGCAAAATCCTGTCACCATATTGCCAACAATAATGCACTTCTGTTTATTCATCTTAACTAAATTTTTATTTTTAAGAAAAGACCTTTTTTCATTGCCCTGGAAAACTGGTAAAAGTTATAAACAGTTTTGAGAATTGAGTACCATATACTCTTCGGACCCTTTCAACAATCACGCATAAAATGTGTCATTCTCAGAAGAAGATATGAAAATTTACACAAAAAAGTCATCAATTCTGAAGGTTTTACTTCTAGTGCACTTCAGTAGTGTTTCTTTTAATCAAAAACATTTTCTTCCGATTTTGTACAAATGTGTTTTTTTCGAACAGCAGTAAAGGCAATGCGTTTACCAGGAATGGTATATTTCTCTCGGAATTTTTTCAATTTGATGCTCACATGGACGACCCACCCATATCCACCGCTAGATTTAGTACAACATCTTGGCAATTGAATTGGTGCGCTAGTGATTTTAATTTCGGATTGACCCAAAATGGC